TTTTAAATATATTTTTAACCATTTTCTAAATTCTTTTTTTGACTTTTACATGTTTTGTTTTTGTGAAGCGCCTCGTGATTTTTATCTTGAGAGGCGCTATAGGAATGATATTTTCTTCTTCTTCCATCCTCTGTGGATGAGTTTATAATGAAAAGAGCTGCAGCTCTCTAATATGTGCTGTCTGATTCAAGCTACATGACACAAACTGATCAGATGAAGTCAAACTCTTACCCTACATTTTCCTCAACGGCTTCTACAAATTTAGTTTAAGTCATATTTTCTCCGCTTTTGTGCCAAGTTTCTGCATTTCATCCCTGATTATGTATCAGCGGTGTGCATCAGGATGCTCCCCTGTGGCTATAATTCCACAACAACCACTGGGACCAGAGTATTTTTGTTTTTGTGTTTAGAATTCGCGTTGGTGGCACTCTGATGTTATTGCCATCGCGAAAACGTCTCTAAGGCTGCACGTGTTTACACCTGAAAAAAGCATTTAAGCTGCTCATTAAAACTGCCGAGGAACTGATTTTAAAAGAGCCATTCGACAAGATGATGTCACTTTTTAGACCTTTATCATTATTTTTCTAATAAAATCCATAGTTTCAATAAGATGACACGTTTGAGCACAGCTTGGATGTAAAACAGGATGTTGCTCTCCTCTCCTTTTACTCTTGTCCTCCTGCCTTTCACCTCTCTCATTCTCCTCTCATCCCTTCTTCTGGTGCTCCCACTGCCCTCCAGCCTCGGTCCCTGTGACAGACAGGGTGTCCTCACCTTGTAACGATCAGGGACATCCAATACGTTTGGCTTGGGATCATCCCCTGCGTGCATTGTGTGTCTGTTAAATGCTTTATTGATTAGCCTTGAGTTAATTACAAATTACATTAAGCGTGGCCAGGCTAAGGTGGCGGGTACACGGCTGCGGGATCCGTCCTGGAGCAGCTAATATATCGGCTGTGCACGCCCACAGGCATGCATCTCAACCTTAGCGGGTTACATTAGTCATCCTCATCTCCGCCATTAACACCCTTGCATTTGTGACATTTCATAGCGCCTTATCAGTGCTTTAAGGACATGCAACATATCCTGGGCGATTGTTGTGAGAGGGCTAGAATTAGAAGCAGGAGGTTTCTGCAAGCGGACCTGGAAATGCATGCTTAATTCTGTGGAGCACAACTTGACACACCCTATGCAAAATTATGAGATGTGCTAAATCCACAGAGGCTAATGCATTAAGCTCCATTGTAGAAATCCATAACATTCATGCACCTGACCTGCTCTCCAACCCATAATAATAATAATAATAACAATAAGAATTGTTTTTGCAGCGCTGCTACTGCAGACACTATTTCCAGCCTTTTTCCTTTTCATCCCGTGTCAGTTTCTCGTTGACATTGCCGTTTACTTTGCAAAAAAGAAAAAGGAGCGAAAAAAATCTTTATCAAATCCCCATTCTGAGGCTTTCAATAAGGCAGGCCATTACCTCACTGGCGCTTTTGTTCGGCCTATACAAGAGAGAACAAAATGGTTATTCAGGAGGACGCTTTAGATTTTTATTGTGGGCTCGCTATTCACAAAGAGCACCGTTATTGTATTAAAAAGAACCATCTGTGGCAGAAACAATGGCTTCAAATTATCTGTGAATACCCAGTGAACAAAATATAAAGCTTTTTCCTGCTCATTATGTGGGCTAAGCTAGGGGGTGGAAGATAGGAGCGGCATAGACTTTGTTATAACTGACTTTTGTTGTTCTTGCCTGCATTCTTCTCCTTTTTAAATCGGCCCCCTTTTCACATTGTGTGTCGCCGTGAACGGCTTTTCTTGTTGCAGGGCTCGCCGAGAGAAGACAGCGGAGCTCCAGACGGAGAGCGGGGCTGCGCGGGACTGCGAGCTGGACCGAAGCGCGCAGGTGGCGGCGTGAGGAGCGCGCGGACGCCCGGGCTGCGGAGGGTGGTGACGGGCGGGAGGCGCTGGATGGATTCCGGCGGCACACAGGAGCTCTGCCCCGGACTGACTCGGGCTGCATCGGCGGCTGGAGAAAGAGGAAGTTATGGAGGAGGCTGAGCGGAGAAAAACGCATTTTTTTTTTATTTCTGCCAATCAAGACGAGATGAGACAACTCCCAGCCTTGCAGTAAGTTGGAGCGCGATGGAGGTGTGTGTGTGTGTGTGTGTGTGTGTGTGTGTTTGTGTGTGTGTGTGTGTGTGTGTGTGTGTGTGTGTGTGTGTGTGTGTGTGTGTGTGTGTGTGTGTGTGTGTGTGTGTGTGTGAAACATGCAGTGTTGTGGAATGACGCCATGCTGTACGAACTTGACAGAGCTGTGTTTCATTTACAAACATCTGACTTTTATCTGCTCAAACTGCGACAGAAATTTTATTTTGTTTGTTCAATGTATAAAATATATATATATATAGGCTACAAATTCAAATATATGCATAACATTAATTATATTATCATTAGGATTAGAAATCTGATTCTACTTTCGCACCGTTATTTTATTCTAATTACATTTATTTTAATAAGTTAGGCATTTTTCGCTTTTTATTATTTTCCTCTGTAATTTAAAGGAATTTGCATTATGTGCTTAATTGCGCCTCGCTGATAAATTTCTTATAATTAAAATTAATGAATGTCAATTTCGCGCATTTATTAGGAAAAGGGAAATCTTGAATGCGTTTTTTTTTTCTTTAATCTGGAGTCTGTTAAGTTCTTTCCCACATCATCAGACGCGGTTGGTGTGTTTTCATATTTTCCTCCGTGTGTTGAGTCCGTGGCACGGCCCCTGGCGGCTGAAACTCCCCTTTATGACCTTTATTTGTCAGAAATGTGTTTATGTAGGAGGCCTTAAAATTCCCTCGTTTTCTTCCCTTTAACAGGATTAGTTCCGTTTAAGTTCAGACTGAATAAAGTTTCATCTGCAACAGGTGAAAAATAAACTTGTTTGGAGACAGGAGCCAGGTTTTATTTATTTATTTTTTAGTTCCCGCGCATTGCGGCTGTTTTTGCTCGCATGTTTTGCGGAGATCCCATCATCTAAATTTGTGCAACCACAACACGGTATTTTGGTTTCCCAGCATGCAGCTCGTTGTATTTGCAGGATCCATCCCAACCTGCTGTGGTGGGGGGTCTTACAAGTGGTCGGAGGGAACCGCCCCTCTAGTTTCCCCGGCTTCTTTATTTTTTTGTCCAACAGCGGGTTTAATGCGGGATGATAGTGGATGCGGGGCCACTCCCGGCTGGCTGGGGCCCGCTTTCACAGAGCTGCGGGGCCCCCGCTGTTCCTTTATTATCATAAGCAGATTAGAGGTAGCGGGGAACACACTCAGATGCAGATAGCAGCCGAGCGGCCCATTTCAACCTTGCATCATAATGGACCGAGCTGCATGTGTCGCTTCTTGCAGCCCATTAAGCACCAGATGAACCTCATAAGGCTGCAGAGGCCCGGCCGGGCTCCGCGCCTCCATTTATTATCAAAATGACTAAAACTAAATAATACAACTTCATCTATTTCAAAGATGCTTTAATCTGCGCATTTAAATGAAATAATTGCAGGTGTGTTGGTCTGTCTTTACTGGTCTGCTGCACTCGCAGATCCGGACGTATGTTTGGTGTTTGGAATAAAAATGATGTGAAATAAATATTTTTGTATTTTGGTTTAGTTTTTTTTTTATCTACTTTAACTTCTAACAGCGGTGATTTTGTTGTCTGAGAAAACTTTTTTCAGAGTTTGCGTGTAGTTCTGCGTTAGTCCAGTAGGCGGCACTGGTGTCACGCAGCACTGCGCCAAAGCCGCGAGGTGGACAGTCAGAATAGAAACAAGTGGCACCAAAGCGCTGCAGACTCCAGAAGTTTGCTCGTGTTGGACTGTTGAGCTTTCTGAGAGTGTGTTGCCTTTGTGGAGAATCTCATGTCGCATTAATCTGAGTTTGATCAGAACTGAAGCAGGTAGAGGCCGCTGCTTTTCTGACTCCCTCACGCGCTTGGTTGTGTTTTCACATGAATCTAGAAACACTCATGTCCTTTTATTAGTCCTCCCTTTTAGACAACGGGTCTAAGCCGCCTGCAAGCCCCCAGCAGCAGCAGCAGCAGCAGTGGAGTGGAGTTGGGGCTTTGTCCGGACAGATGTAGCGACAACATCCCAAACAAAACGCGCTTATTTGTGCTGATGAGATGAGCCCGTCTGCCTTGTGTGTGTTGGCATTCAACTTCCCAAAACAAAAGCTTTAGGTGGGGAGGCAGACATCTTGGATTACCTTTCCTCCTTTCAACACCCAAAACCAGCCCCCCCCCCACCCCCCCCCCCCCCCCACACACACACAGGGCTTTTGAGTTAACTAACAACGTTTACTTAAGTCTTGTTGTGCTGTTGGGCCCGATTGTGTGTGTGTGTGTGTGTGTGTGGGGGGGGGGGGGGTGTTACTAACTTTTTTGATTATTCTCTAACACTGACACAAGGTCATGCCTTCAGTCAGAAAAAAAAAACAGTTTCCGGTTTGAATAACGTCACCAGTTAATTATTGTATTTCTTATTAAAAGATATTTCCGCCTATTTGCCTTCATTTCACCACCTAAACATTAGATTATTATGTCTGGATTAAAACTTTCTAACTCAGCCACAGCTGAATATAAGATAATTGTCATTTTTTTGGGTCGTTTTATTAATTTTGAGGAATTCTTTCATCATTTGCACGTGCTACCTGTTCAAGAAAAAAAACTTTTTATTTATTTATAAACGTCCTATCAAGTTCGGCGTCACAGTTTTACTCTTCATAAATAAAAACACTCGCAAATGAGCTTCTATACGGACAGCAATGAGAAACAATAATGCTCATAGTAAATGTGTACTCTGTGTTTGGCTCATAGGGCAGCCTGAGAGTGAGAGTATGCCCGTAAGCTCCGGGGCAGACAGGCCCCGCCTCTTTATGCTAATTAAGGCCTCCCATTGGTGTGTCAGTGGGGAAGGCCTGCTCTGATTGGCCAGGTCGAAGCCATTTATTCGATGACAGCCATGACATGGTTGTCTATTAACTTGTTCAAAAACTATCAGGAGTTGTCAAGGCTCAGGCGGGCAGAGGCGCAAAAGTACAGTTTGTTGATGCTTTTTGGAGGAAGCGAGAGAAGTTTTGTGGACACGACATAGCAGGGACCTATTGGGAGAAGGCTCTCTGTCCACACACACTCTCACACACACACACACGCACACTCGGGGGACGGAAGAGAGAAGGGAGAGTGTGTGGAGACGCGGCTTGATGCTTGTTTTTGTCCAGAGAAAAGTTGCAGAGCAACCCGACAGGTAACTTTCAGCCGCTGCGCTCCTCGCTGCCTCCGGCTCCTGGAGTTTCTGTTTCTTTTTCTTTCTTCCTCTTTTTTTTCGTCCTCCATTCGTCGGCTTGGAAGCACCGACTCAAAGCTGTTCCTGATGTATAACATGATGGAGACTGAACTGAAGCCCCCAGCTCCCCAGACCAACACGGGGGGCACGGGAAACACCAACACCACGGGGAACGGCACCAACCAGAAAAACAGTCCGGAGCGGGTCAAGAGACCCATGAACGCGTTCATGGTGTGGTCCCGGGGCCAGAGGAGGAAGATGGCGCAAGAAAACCCCAAAATGCACAACTCCGAAATCAGCAAGCGGCTGGGAGCAGAGTGGAAGCTCCTGTCGGAGAGCGAGAAAAGACCTTTCATCGATGAAGCCAAGAGGCTGAGGGCCCTGCACATGAAGGAGCATCCGGATTACAAATACCGGCCCCGGCGGAAAACCAAGACCCTCATGAAGAAGGACAAGTACACCTTGCCCGGCGGGCTGCTGGCTCCTGGAGGAAACGGGATGGGCACTGGAGTCGGTGTCGGGGTGGGGGCCGGACTGGGCGGTGGAGTGAACCAGCGCATGGACAGTTACGCAGCGCACATGAACGGCTGGACCAACGGTGGCTACGGCATGATGCAGGACCAGCTGAGCTACCAGCACCCGGGTCTGAACGCGCACAACCCGAGCCAGATGCAGTCCATGCACCGCTACGACATGAGCGCCCTGCAGTACAACTCCATGACCAGCTCCCAGACCTACATGAACGGCTCCCCCACCTACTCCATGTCCTACTCCCAGCAAACCACGCCGGGGATGACCACCCTGGGCTCCATGGGGCCCTCCTCGGTGGTCAAGTCCGAGTCCAGCAGCTCCAGTCCGCCCGTTGTCACCTCCTCGTCCCACCGGGCCGCTCCTGGCTGCCAAAGCGGGGACCTGAGGGACATGATCAGCATGTACCTGCCCGGGGCCGAGGTCAGTGACCAGAGCGCCCAGACCAGGCTACACATGTCCGGCCACTACCAGAGCGCCGTGCCCGGGACGACGATCAACGGCACGCTGCCGTTAACACACATGTGAGAGACAGACAGACAGAGAGAGAGAGTGAGACAGAGCAAAAGAACTTTTATAAGAGAAACTGCGGACTATAAACGCTGGACTATTTTTGTACAGAAAAATTTGGGGTGGGAAAAGTTGTATAGAAGTTTCCAGGAAAAAAGGACTCCACTGTTTCTTTTAAAATTTATTTTATTTTTTATTTTATTCTGAAGAAGCTCTAGAGGAACGATAGGAGACCCCCCCCCCCCCTAAAATGGTGGATGGAGTTTGGAAATCTAGAAAGTGGGAGTCGCAATCAGATGTTTTATTATTGCAATCACCTTTTGTACAGTATTTATCAAAGAAACATTACAATCAGAGGGAATTGCTAAACTGCAAGAGGTTGCATCTTTCTTTTCGTTTTTTATATAAAGCGGCGCCAGTTCTGCAGAAAAGATGAATGAATAAAAACTGCAGAATTGGAATTTTTATCAGTTAGAATTACTGCAAACACTGGAATGAAAAGGGACATAAGAAGCAGGTAAAACTGTTATTCTTTTCAGTTTTTTCTCCATTTAAGGTCAACGTTACTAAACTTTTATTTCTTTGAGAAACAAACGTGAGACAATTTTTTCTGTCATGCAGCTTAAATTTTTAGCTAGTTAATTTATATTTCCGTCTCCCACTTTTCATCATTTAGCGGACATGACGCTTGTGCTCTTTATTTTTTTTATTGATTTGTACAATTTCTGTATATTTACTGTGACATTTGAAGTTTTTATTTCAAAGCTCATTCCCGTAGTTGTATTTTGAAACTCGTGGCCTGTACGCAGAAGCCACGCACTCCATGTAAATACCCCCAGACTAATACCATCCTTATAACAGTTACAGTTTCAGCTGAGTATATTTTTTTTCAATATGCGGTTTGAAATGAATAAATTTTGGAAATTTGGATACTTGAAATTGTTTGAGTTTTGATTCAGTTTCTGTCACGTTGAATAATTCGTGTGTTGAGTGTTTTTTTTTTTCATCCCGTCTTTTTATTTGGCATCTTTCGGGTGATTTCTGCCTTTTGAGAACAACAGCAGCTTTCTGGGGGGACGCTCCTCCTTTATTCCCAGCCTGTGCGTCGAGGTTAACCACGTTTCTTTCTTCCAGTTCCCGCTGGTCCTCAAAGACAAAGTTTGTTGCCTGGAGAGGTTTTTCCAGCAAAAATTCCCAACATTCCCAGGTACAGACTGTCATTTCTCTTCTTTGATATAAAAAGAGGAAAATGTTGAGGCAAACATTTAATCTTAATACGTTTAAAAATGCTAATAATTGGTGTGTGGGGGGCCTTTTTTGGACTGGGGCACTATTTTTATTTAGTGACACAACTGAGCAGGATTTTCATTTTTAAATAATTTTCCCAGTATTTCCGTGTTGTTTCACTGCTTGTTTGTGTTTTGCTCCTATAAATCCCAGTTTTCCAAGCGGCTTCCAGACAGGAAGTCGCGTTTTAATGTCTCTAAGGAGATTTAGTTTTAATTTAATGTTCACTCAAACGGTTCACACCGCCTCTCCGCTAACTGTCACCGTCTGCACACGACACCAACCTCTAATAAAAACAGGAACCCTCCAGAAAACAAAAATCTTCCCATGCGTCTTTCCGCCAGCAGGCCGATTCCCCTCCACTCTTAATAATAATCCCTTTGATGAGCTAACAGCTCGCACTGAATTTAACTAACGGTTCTAAATCGTTAAGAGTGTCTGTGTGTGTGTGTGTGTGTGTGTGTGTGTGTGTGTGTGTGTGTGTGTGTGTGTGTGCGCGCGCGCGTGTGTGTGTTGTGGGGTAGATTAGGACCGTTGTGTCTTGCAGGCTCGGTCCCGAGGGAGCGGCAGATGAATATTTGAAGAGGCCACTCTGTATTTATCCATCCACTTCTCCTTCTCTCTCTCTCTCTCTCTCTCTCTCTCTCTCTCTCTCTCTCTCTCTCTCTCTCTCTCTCTCTCTCTCTCTCTCTCTCTCTCTCTCGCTCTCTCTGGAGGTCAGGCGGATCGTCGGTTTCCTCATTAATTATTGATCCGAACAGCGGATTCGCTTGTAATAGCCGAGCAGGCCGGTGATAAACAATTTGTTTCTAAAAAGGTCGGACTGGACGCGTTAAACCCCCTCCCTTCTTATTCAATAAGCGCCGGGCCCCTGCAGGCCCGGAGGCCCCGATAAATTCATATTTATCCCGGCTGAGCGGAGCAGCTTTGATGTAAGGAAAACACTTTTTATATATTATTATTTGACAGGAGAGAATGTTTGATCAACTTCTGTTGTCTGGAGCTTGTGAGACCTGTTGGTCACGCCTAGGAGAGAGCTTCAACCACAAGGTTCAGCCTTAAATAGCATTCATTTCAATTAGAAACGATTCAATTGCATGGTTATATATATATATATATATATATATATATATATATATATATATATATATATATATATATATATATATATATATATATGGCCTTTTTGACTTGATTTAATCTTAAAAACTAGGGGAATATACAAGTGGTTGAGATCACATTTTGAATGAAAAACATCCAGATAATTTAGTGAGTCACGTGTTTGAAATTTCACCAGTCAATAAATAATTTAATTAGAATAAAATCGCGTTAGAACTGAAATATTTAAGTGCTGTTAACATCCTATAAATGAGTGTATAGCTTCACTTCTAGCGCTGATCAGGTGTTTCTCTCCATCCTTTCATCTTCCGCTTCCCGCGGCGTCTGGCGGCCGCAGCTCGAGGATATCTGGCCTGCAACAGGTGGTGAGCGCGCGCCAGTTTTGTTCTTCTTTAGTTCCATCGTTAAAAAAAACTTCCAGATGTTATCTATGGCAACCGTGTGTGTATGTGTGTGTGTGGGAGGGGGCGCGCTCCGTGTTTCATAACAAAGGTGCTCTTTTATTTCTCTTCCAACGCTGAAGGGAACAAAAAGTGAAAAAATGTCACCAAAAATTTTGAATTATTATTTGTTTTATTACAGCGAGTCTGAAAGTATTTAAAACAAAAATAAAACATTTAGATTTGAATAATTACAAAAAACGGTTTAAAATAAATACAAGAAAACTTGTTTAATCCACAACGAGACGTGTCCCGCGCCGTTTTCCAAATCCTATTGTCTGTTTGTTGTTGGGATTAAAAACATTTTTAATTAGGTCAAATGACCAGTTTGTACACGCGCGCGTGCACACACGCAAACAATGCCTGTTTAGTGATCCCGTAATCCCACGAGAGCCACTTTCCTTTTTCATCACGGATGATGAAGAGGAGGGGGCGTGACGTCAGCTACCCATGAAACGCTCTTTAGTGATTCTGCGTCTCTTCCACCTGCTGACCGTAAACGCACCGCGCGTGTTTGTAGAATGGAAATTGATTTAAATAATTCCAATAATTAAAAATGACTTGTTGTGAGATTGAAGAAACATTTAGATGAAAACTTATAAATAAAAACAATGTTCCTCGGATAAAACCGACTCGTTTTATTACTTTTGTTGTTTTCGTCAAACTCACAATTATTTTCTCAGAAACTCAGAAACGACTAAAAATAAATAATCAGTTTCTTTTTCTTTTGTTTCTCCTCTGCGTGCGTGCGTGCATGTGTGTGTGTGTGTGTGTGTGTGTGTGTGTGTGTGTGTGTGTGTGTGTGTGTGTGTGTGTGTGTGTGTGTGTGTGTGTGTGTGTGGAGACTGAATGGCAGCCAGCAGCCTGCTGATCTAGCGCAGGTGCAGGGAAGGGAAGCGGGTGCCCCCCCCCCCCCCCCCCCCCCGGTCTACACGCACGCACTCGCACGCACACACTTCCATTGAATAGGACCACACACTGACACGGACCATCATGCCGTCAGCCTCGCGCTGCTCTCCAGCTCGGCCTGGAGGCTCGAGGCCTCTGCGACACCCCCATCCCTCATCTGTAACCCCCCCCACCCCCCCACCCACCCCCACACACACACACACACCACCACTACCACCACCACACACACCACCACCAGTCAACCCAAGCTCCGTTTATCATTGCTGCTCATTGATTCTGACAGCTTCATACAGCGCCATCATTACAGGAATGCGCAATTTGCGACTCAAGAAAGCAGAAACAACAACTCTGCCTCTCAGAAATGTCTTTGCAGCATTAAGGTGTTCTCAAACCTGGCTTATTTGAGCAAAAATCGAATTTTGTAAGTCTCATAAAATCTTGAAATTTCACCATTTATTTTCTTTCTGCTTTTTAAAAGGTCATAGAGGTAAAGAAAAGCATGGAGGCAGTTGGGCCAATGGGGTGGGAGCATTTAGCTCCAATATAAAACAACATTAGTGCCTTTAATAATTTGATTGTAATATTTAGTTCTGCCGAGCTCAGACTCTAAAGACGTTCCAGAAGTTTAAACTCACTTTTTGTCTGTTTCTTAATAAAGTTTTTTAGACGTCAGGCGCTTTTTTTTTGTTTATGCAGATTAATTTCCGCATTAGTCAACCATGCAAAACGTAAGCGTCAGTGTGCACATTGTCTTATAACAAATTTGAGCTAATGCAGCCACAATGATAGTATAACAGCACGCTAATTGGCATTTTTTCTGCGCAACAATGCAACCAGATCAGCATCTCTATTATTTAATAACGTCAAACGCTTGGCTGGCTGCGCTGGGAGGAGGAGGAGGAGGATGGCGCAATAAAAGCTTCAGTCAATGCAACAAACAAATGTTTGCGTTCAGATTACACGTTGCTGCCCTCACAGGCAGCGCGACGCAACAGGTGACGGTGCAGCATCCGGTGAAAGTGCGCTTTGCTGTTCTGAAATGTGCAAAGTCGGTGCAGTGAAAGTTGAGTTTGCACATTTAACATTAGATTTGAATTAATTTATGACATTTCCTGGAAATCCGCATTTTGTTGTGCGCAGTAAACCCCATACAGGAAGAGCATGATGACGCGTTAGATGAAAATATTTCTAGAAAACATTTTGGGTTTCTGCTCGCTCCTGCAGCACGTAGTCTGGAGCCATTTCAGAGGCTCTAGGCGGGCTGCCACCCATGCAGGGTTTCAGGGAGCCCCCGAGGGGAGGGGGGCGGGTGGATGTGTGGCACAGATCGTGGCCGCAGTGAAAGGACTTCTCTCTCTGAGGCGCTGCTCATCCGGTCGCAGCTCTGAATTTCTGCAGCTACTTGTTGAATGAAAAGGGTTTTGATGTCTCTCCTCCTGGAATCAATAATGTATATTTTAACAACAACAACAACAACATAATAATAATAATAATAATAATAATAATAATAATAATAATTGCACAACTAACGAAAAAGAGAGGTCTACTCTTTCTATACATTGATTTTCGTTTTCTCCCTGTTAAATACATTTACCGCAGACGTCCATGAAGGAATGTTATAACTAAATAAAATAGTTCAAAAAGATGAACTATTGTATTTTCTTAATAACTGATGGGACAAAGAGGTGAGGTGCTGAAAGTTGTATTTATTTAAAAAAAACATGATGTCTGCTCCAGCAGCGCCTCCGGAGCTGGTTGTCACAGATTCTTTGATACTGAAGGCTGTTGAGCTGATGGGACTGAATCATCATTAACAAGCTAACAGACACAGGACCCCCCCCCCACCCCCCCGTCTCATTTCCCAGCATAGACACTAACCTCTTTCTCTGTCATCAGCCTGAGTCTCCCTCCGTCGACTCCAGCAGAAAACAGCACAGCCCATTGTTCCCGGCCTCCCCCGCCCCCCTCATGGCCCCCCGACCCAACTGTTGACCAACAACTCCATTCGCACATTAAACGGGGAGGGGTGGGGGGGTGGGGGGGTGTCCCATTTTAGAATATGACACATTCAGAAATACATGAGAAAAAAAGTGGGTGGGAAGGGAAGGGGCGGTGCGGGTTTTCAGAGCACACGCGCGCACACGCACGCACACACACACACACACACACACAC